CGGGATCGTGCCGGAACCCGCCCGCCCAGGGCCGCCCCTCCGCGGGGAGCGGCCTCCGCTCTCCCGAAGCACCCGAGGATCCCAAGGGGGACCCTGGTGGCAGCCCCCGTGATGCGCCGTCCCAGCCCCGCCGTCCCGCAGCCCCGGGAGGATGGATGCTCGCAGCGAAGGGAACATTTCTCAGAARGATTTCTTTATTGGGTATTCGGCTGTACAAAGGGAGGTGTGACCAGAGCGAAGTACAGCGCTAGTAYCTGCGGGGCAGCCCCGCGGGCCGGTAGCGGTTCGGGTCGCCGCCGCTCCGGCCCCACCGGTTCGCCTCCTGGTCCGCACGGGTGTCCTCGGCGCCTCTGCCGCTCACGCCGCTCTGCCAGTTCTCCCGGGCRTCGCTATGGGAAGGAGAGAGGCCACATGAACAGACCGCATCTAACTCAGTCTTGTGCTGGTTCCCTCGCTCAAGTGAAACAGCTTTTCCGCAGGGCTTCATCTCAAGGTGAGATGCAAGCACACGCTCAAGTCTTTGTTTGAGAGCCCTCAGTGGAATCCACAGCTATATGTCGGGAAATTAACCGGCAATGAAGGAGAGTTCCTCATCAGAAATGCAGAGAAAGGAATCTGCCTTCTCAGGAGGATGAGAAGAAAAGCTCACGCTCATGTGGCTCTATTCCTATCGAGATCGGCTGTCCAAATRGAAACTACTTCCCCACCTTTCTGCTGTCCTAGGTCCAAAGCTGAGTACAAGTCAAAAAGGACTTCACTGCAGCTGGAATGCCTGGATCCCTAATTACTGTTAACAAGCCAAGCACAGTCCATTACCTGATCACTCTGGCTGCCCAAGCACCACCAGGTCCTCTCCGGGCAGCATCATAATTCCCACGGGCATGGAAATACTTGTCGGCACCTCTGTAATTCGCCCTGCGCATGTCCCGGTATGCTCTGTACATATCCCATGCCCCTGAAGRAAGCAGAGAAATGGACATGACAATGACTTGAAAGAGTCACACCAGAAATAGTTCAGTACCATTCAGCCAGGAGCTGAAAGGCCCAAGGAGCAGGAACAGAGGGAGGCACTTCTCCATGTCAGCCTTTGCACCAGGCTGTGCCCACAGAAAGCATCTGGGGGCTGATCAAGGCACTCATCCAGCCCAGAAACCAGCAGGGTCTCTAATGTGGAGTGTGGATCTCCCAGCTCCGAGGGCTGCACCACTGACTGCTGGTAACCTGTGCTTGGGGAGGGGGCTCCTGAGGGAAGGGTCCCTCCCTGGTGACAGCAGCTTACCTCCCGCTGCATCCCGGACAAAGTGTCCAGCTCGGACTATTGCTGGTCTGTCGGCACTTGCGCACAGAGCAAGGGAGAGCAACGCAATGCAGAGCCAGAGCCTCATGATTCCTGGCCAAGCCCAACAGGAGCTGGAGACAGAGAGAGGGATAAGCAGTTCTGAAGCACCTTTGAGCACCCACCACATTCCCAGCTGTACCCAGGCTGCTGCCCCTGTTGAGAGCTCACCCAGGACCCCCTTCTCCCCCTGCAAGRAGTGGTGCCCTCTGTGTGACCACAATCAGCTAAGGACTCTACAACAGAGGCAGGTGACAAACTTGCATTTTAGCACTCCCTGCTGCTCCTGCCATGAGTATAAAGAAGCCCCACAAGCTAAAGTGTCAGCCCTGCTCCCAAACACCGCTCAAAACACTGCACACAGATCGCAAATTCAGAATGTCACTCACCACCGCAGAAATGCAAAGCCAAGGCGATGGAGATGGTCTCCTATGCTCTCAGACTGAGAGAGGGTATTTATAAGTAATTCAAACCCCCCAAAAGAGGAAACTGGAAAATCCCAGGCTTTTTTTTTCCCCCCCACAGCTGGGAAATCCCCCCACCACTCCCAACACAGAAATCATTACTGGAAACCTGTGCTTGTCCTTACTGAAGGTTCATGCTCCTRTTACACAATTTTTTTAGAAATTATGTTGTGCTTCTTCAGCTGTCCTTGGGACTGTTTGCTCCTCATAACAACCAGAGTGAGAAACTGCCTTGAAGGCTGAAGAGCTCCATGTGCTTGAAGTTGGCTTAWGGATGACACTTTTTGGATCTTGGGCTGGACAGAGCTCAGAGGGAAAGGTGCCTGGCTGTCTGCACATTGAAACACAAGGTCAGAGCTGTGCCTGTGCACGGGAATGGTAAAACTGCATTAGCAGAAAGGCTGCAGGAACTGCTAAGTGAAATTCCCATATGTGCTGGGATTGCCAGCTAAATCCCAGAATTGATGAAATGTGAAATATGAAGTGTTGCTCTGAACTCCATTGCAAAGCAAACCACAGATACCTATGTCTCAGCTGATAATGCTTTAAGATAGCACAGACACACACACCATAAAGAGGGTCAGAATGGCTCATTTTGCCTTGGCTTGCTCTCACAAACCTCTCTCCAGGGACTTCCAGCCATCCTGCTSCAACAGGCTAAATGAAGGAGAGTTTTAGACCCAACTGTAAACATTTTACCTAAGGGGATGTTCGGATCCATACAGCCACAACTCTGCTAAATTTTTAATTAACCAATTGGCACACTCACAGTTTAAGTAAACACTGYGCTCTCCCTGCTTAGGAGCTGCTTGCTTCCCTTGATTTACAATTTCACACAAACTTTTCCCCTGCAGAAAGCTCCAGGGTTGAGTGCAGTTGCACTGTAGAGTGGGTGTGCAGAAAGTGTTCCCATGGTGTGGTCTTACACATAGTTTAACAAATCTAGGAGAGCACTTACCTTCCACTCAGGAGTGTTAGGGGTAGCTGCCCTGCTGTAAACAATTCGCTGCTGGAGMTGCAGGGCAGAGGCATGAGTTGAAAATGGTGCAAAAAGCTAATTAAGTGTGAACAGTAACTTCCTCGAGCTGTGCTGGACTTCAGACAAAAAATTTAGCTCAAGGGGAAAAAGGAGACAAGTCCCACAGACAGGCCTGGGACGACAGGACAGATACTCTGTAGCGTATTGTATCTCAGAATGGAACAATTTGCAACAAGAATCTAAATCCTAACCCAGCCGACTAGGAAACCTGGCAAAAAGCAGGGAGCAGACAGAGATTTTCATCTCTTGGCACCCAGGAACCTGGTACTTGACAGTGTAACAGCTCAACGGCTGCAGGACTGCAGTGTTGTGCTTTGCTGCAACTGTGTTCACATCCTGGCACTGACCTWCATCCTTGGGCTACATGGCAGCTCAAGTGCCTTCTGTGCTGTCTGAACGTAGCCCTGTACATCACCTTTTTAGTTTTTACAAATCCGGAAAATTGCTCTTGTAAGTTGGSGTACAGGCATGTGGCATTTTGCCCAGAGACCTAGAACAAAGCATTGCCATAAAAACTGACCTAAGGAACTTTTTCCCTACAAGAGTTCAAACACTTTGAACCATGGAGGATATTTTGAATCTTACGATGTTTCACATTCTCTCCAACCCGACATTTTCTGCAAAACGTGAGGATAATTGCAAGAAGGCGGGAGCTGGAGGGATTCTTTAAGATCTCAGAGTGCATCCCCTTGTGTCCAGCAAGGAGGATAGCAGCAGTGACAACAAGGCTGGAGCTGCCTATGGAACTGAGCTAAAGSTCCAGCTTGGGGCTGCAGCAGGGAACAGCAGGGAACAGGCTGAGCTCTGCTTTCCGGGATCCTCTTGGCCTGCACTCCAGGTCCTGACCCGTGGCTCACAAAAATGAGCTGCAGCCAGAACTGYTGCTTTCGCAACAGCAAAAGGCAGCACTGCCTCTGAACACAGACGAGGGTTTGAACAGAGTATTTCTTCCTGGCCTAGCAACAAAACACTGGCAGGGTGTGCACACTGGGAAACACAACACATTGAGGGGGGCCTGGAGACCCGTTTTCTGGGTTTATACATTCTGATGCAGTTAAGACAAAAAGCAACCCCATACTGCTTGCTCTGTAACGGTAAATATCTGTAAATGAAAGCTAAGTTCCACAAACATTACACAATTTTGCAATCTAAGCAAGTCAGATTGAGAAAGGGCATGAGGTGAATTCCCAGCTCAGGCACAATAAGAGTTGCAGTTATTTCTTAATCTGGGAAAGAACAGTAACTTTTTTAAGCTTATCTGTGCAATAATTCACTTCAGGAGTTTTGCCAAGTATGGGAATATATACTACCACTGACCTCGGGCTTATAGACAATGTAGAACAACTGCAAATTTATCTCCTTTCAAGAAGTAGATTGAATATGCTGATATTCATTTGAAGTAAAATTGATTTACCCATGRGTTTCTAGTAGTGAAATAAATTTGAAACAATGTGTAAGATTTTTTCTTAAAAAAAAACCACTACCAGTTCCTATTTAAAGCCGCTCCAGGCTAAGCCCCTTTTATTCATTTCTCCTTTTCAAGGGTCTCCCCCCCACCAGCCACCTACAAAACCCGAAGCTGTCCTGCAGCTCATCTCMTGAATGGGGCTGGTTGAGCTGGCAGTGCTGTGTGCTCAGCTAACTGAGGGGAGCCTTGCTCTGWGTACTGTAATTTCTGAACAGAAGACCCTCTCACTTCACAGTCCCTTCACCTTGCCCATACAAGATGAAAACAAACTCATCCAGAAGAGGAAACATTCATTTTCCAACTCTTCTTCAGAGAGTAAACTCTCACTCTTTATTAACAGCCAAGTTAGTTGAAATCATAAACACAAGCTCACTTTACACACAAAATCTGAACACACACTTCCYATTATGTTACCTCTATGACCTTTCTGACACTTTTTTTTTTTAAAAAAAAGCTCTAACCAGAAATGCAATTTATTGTTAAAAAGCAAAAAAGCCCTAATTCTCAAGTCAAAGTTAATCAAGCATACAAAACCCCCACAGAAGTAAGAAAGACACTGATGTGTACACAAAATACACCAAGCAAATAAAGTGGAGCCATACAGAGGTAAGCCAGGCACATTCTTGGAAAATCAGGAATTTCTCTGAGGAAGGCACCAGGAGCTACAGCTGTWCTACATCACACACTGCATGAACCCGAGGTAGGTAACTGTGGCAGCCCCTGAGGCAGGAGCAGCCRACACCATCTGGTACCTCTTCCAGTCATACCATGAGAACATGGGGAATTCCTGCTGGCACAGATCCTTCTATTTCCARTGGCAGAATCTAAACCCCACAAGACTGAAAGTTTTCTTATTTAGAAATAGTTCTGTATTGGCTTTACCACAAACAACACTCTGGATGAAAGCCTGCTGTTCATTGTCTCCCTGGAACTTCACTTCTAGTGAAGTAACCAACTTCCCACATTCACGTTTTTCTTGCAATCAAGATGAAATAGTCTGCAGACTKCACCTCTCAAAAGGCTGAAAGTTGTACTAAGTCCTGTTTTGATGAAAAGCATTATTTTCACTTGTAGTGCAAGATGACATAAAAAGATTCCTTATAAAGCACTATTTTCAAGTAATTTCACAACAAAATTACCAGTTTAAATTAGTTACAATGAACACATAAATTTTTCACTTGAATTACATTTGTGAAAATCAAATATTGACTAGATGCTGTGGCCTTCTACTTAAAATGTGAGTCAAAACTAGAAACCTAAAATGAAACTTGGTCAAAGACGTATTAAACCTAGAGTGCTAGTAGAAAGCATAGTTCTGCAAATGAGATAAAAAATCCAAGTGGTGCTATAAATCTTCATATTYAGATATATAAAAAGACTTCTTTCTTGACAGCATCCATCTAAAAATACTTAATGTAAACCTTCAGCTTTAAAAAAGATTATTAAAATAACTCCTCTCACTTTCCAAAATGTCAGAATTGGTTGTGGCATTACCAAAATTGACCTGGACTTAGGTAAAATATTTTGACACTGTTTCCCACAATRTTCTCATGGAGAAATAGACTGTTCATGGCTTAGACATGTGGAGTGTTCACTGAACAAAAAACTGGCTGGATGATCAGGTCCAGAGAGTGGTTGGAAATGGGAGTTAAATCCAGTTGGTGGCCAGGCCCAAGTGGTGTTCCCCAGGGCTTAGTGCTGGGCCCAGTCCTGTTCAAAACCTTTATCAGTGATATGGGTGAGGGGATGGAGGGCTCCCTCAGTCAGTTTGCAGACACACCAGGCTGGGTGGGAGGGTTTATCTGCAGGAGGGCAGGAAGGCTCTGCCGAGGGATCTGGACAGGCCGGGTCCATGGSCTGAGGCCGATGGCGCCAGGTTCAACAGGCCCAGGGCCGGGGCTGCCCTTGGCTCACAACAACCCCAGGCGGCTCCACAGGCCGGGCCAGAGGGGCTGGGAAGCTGCCCAGGGGAAAAGGAGCTGGGAGTGCTGSTGACAGCAGCTGGACAGGAGCCAGCTGTGCCCAGGTGGCCAAGGAGGCCAATGGCACCTGGCCTGGATCAGCAATGGTGGGGCCAGCAGGGCCAGGGYRGGGATTGTCCCCCTGTCCTGGGCATTGGTGAGGCCACACCTCCAGTGCTGTGTCCAGTTCTGGGTCCCTCASRAKGAGAAGGAYTTTGAGGGGCTGGGGCAAGTCCAGAGAAGGGAAAGGGAGCTGGGGAAGGGTCTGRAGCACGAGCCCTGTGAGGAGCAGCTGAGGGAGCTGGGGGTGCTGGGCCTGGAGAAAAGGAGGCTCAGGGGGCACCCTGGCACTCTCTGCCACTCCCTGAGGGAAACATGCAGCCATGTGGGGATGGATTTCTTTTTCCCAAGTAACAAGGGACAGGACAAGTAGAAATGGCCTCAAATTGCTCCAGGAGACTTTTTGATTGGATATCAGGAAACATTTCTTCACCAAAAGGGCTGTCCAGCAGTGGAACAGGCTGTGCAGC